GGAACCATTCTGTATTAGGTCCATGTGAATTCCAATTTAGAGCCTTCGTAGAAGGCATGTTGGCAAACGATCGTGTTCTGTTATTCCCCCTCCCGCCAATACACGTACGCAAATATACAAGCTTTGATGACCTGAAAACGTCTGTATGATACTGCCGTACGTCGGAAAGTTGTGGCAATTTGCTACTATATTGTGTCGTAACAATGTCTGAGACTATACGCAGTGCGCATTTGTACAGGCTGTAGCCTGTCGGAGCCAGACTATTGTCCACCGCGAGCCCGGTGTAAACACGCAGTTCGATTATGACATGTTTTAATTCCCTCTTCTCAACTCTCTAACTCCAACCTCCGCTGCCTTTGGTCGTCTCCGCCAGCTCTGAGTCCAAATCCACCAGTAAAATGTCCTCTATGCTCGAAATTCGACTGTGTAGATACATTTACAGAATTTAAAAGTGCTAGTAAACTTTCCACCGCGCCTTTTGCTCTGCGACCGACAGCTTAAAAACATTAGATGACGAAGACCCTCCACCGTAGGTGATGGAACTATGCGTAAGTTCACGAAAAGTGTCTAACCAATCGGATACCCAGGCCAAACGCATCTACTAGAACTCTCACTTAATACTGAACGACCTCCAGCCAGCTAAACACACAAACGAAATATTGAAAGTAATATTATATTGGTTAGAAATAGCAATTTGTGCTCATAAAACGTAAATGCCGAAAGTTCGAAAATTTATCTCAAATAAATAAGCTTACTTTGTAGTCGTAGATTAGGCCTGTCCATGCGAACTGGTAAATAAATAAAATAGCATAAGTAGCGTTTAAATATTTTGGGGTAGTTTTTGGTGCTAATATCCTTCAGAAATTATTGTAATATGCAGATAGTTGCCTGATGTTCAACTGTGTATTCCTTAAGACGATGTTACAAGAATCCGATGTAGTTTTTGGTGTTTGGATTGCGCAGATGCCCAGTTACAGGCTCACGCGGCGCCAGCTGGGATTCGAGGCGTCCCTCCTTTTTTTCTCGTATAAAATCCTCGTCAGTGTACATTGTGGACCAAGAGGTGTAGTGGTACGCTTGTTGTGGTTTTTTCGCCGCGCCTTCTCCCGCCTCCGGTCTTCTTGACTCTGTTTTTACACCGGCTCGAGATGTGAGAGGAGGAGAGAGTTCTGTAGACGCGTCGCAAGTCCAGTCTCACTTTAAACTAACTCATGCTCAAGTCACTGTCCCTGCTCCCTGCCTGCTGTGGCGCACACAATGGACATCGTCGGTCATGACGGTCGAACTGTCGCGATTAATAAATGGGACTACAATTTGCAAATGCAATCATAAACATACCACTTCAGGACAGCTTATTCTCCGTAAAATTGCAATATGCTTTCTGCCGCGATGGACTTTGATGCATTCCCTAACGTCCTTGAAATGCCAGTGACTAGTGTATGGTTTTTGAAGTTCTTCACAAGCATGTTGCAGCAAAGTATTGCCTGGAAGGACAATGATTTCATTTCAGGGAATAAAATTACACTGACTTACAATTTGGGTTTTTTAAATTAGAGTAAACTTCTATCTCTCCAAAAGTATCATGTTCATCCGCATCTAGCCTTACCTGTTGTATGCGGTGCGTAGTCACTTTTCTAGTTGACAACAGTTGTTCTGGTAAAAAAAAAATCATCCAAATTAATTCTTTCCATTGAAGAAATACGCACAAATGCGCGAATGTGGTCTATGACAGGTATTAGTTTAGGAAATCGCCTATTTTCAAGGTTACGTTTACTTCCGCCCAAATGGAGTCATGCCTGAATGATGTGAACTTGGCTATTTTCTGTATGAAAGCACTCGATTAAGAAGTTGCAAATGTAGCTATTTGCCAAATTAACGCTCTATTCAGTTTCGTTAAGCGTTCGATTACCGAAAATTCCCTTATTCAATCGTATACAACGTACTTTCCTTTTAATCATGTGCAACATTCTCATTCCGTCTTACAGTGCGTGACCGATCTCATGAAATGTTGACCGAAATTCTGAAATTCGTTTTCGATAAGGTAGGATTGCTTAGGTGGGGTTATGATACTGATTAGCATGCGGCATAATCCTATAGCATTTCGGACTCGCCAGGATGTCGGCTTTTATATGCACTCCTTGTTGACCTCCTGCAGAAACCGTACTTGGTAAAAAAATGACTACTTAAGTAGCATGCATTTTTCCTATGGATTTTTGATGGTCTTATAAATTCCAATATATCTTATAGAAAACGTCACAAAAATAAGCTTTCTTTTGCTCATTTGGTAGAAAATAACATTGTCCTTGCATTTTATGCACAAAGAAAGTGTATATGTGGGTTTTAAAAAAGTTTCCCAATATTCCAATATTTTTGAACCTGATTTGCCATTGCATCAGTGTTCAGCAATTTCAGCCACCAAGATGCATGCTTCCCGCGTAAGGAAAATCACAAATTCCTCGATGCTTTTAAGAGGATACCCCATAAAGTTCATAAAATTTCGCAATGGATCCGAGGTGTGTTGTGCATTTCATGAGGAGCAATAGTAAACGGACATTTGCGGTCCTGTATGCGTGAGCATCGCACGGTCTTAAAAACCTCACAATTAGAAACTTTTTAAAACCTACATATACACTTTCTTCGTGCATAAAATGCAAGGACAATGTTATTTTCTACCAAATGAGCAAAAGAAAGCTTATTTTTGTGACGTTTTCTATAAGATATATTGGAATTTATAAGACCATCAAAAATCCATAGGAAAAATGCATGCTACTTAAGTAGTCATTTTTTTACCAAGTACGGTTTCTGCAGGAGGTCAACAAGGAGTGCATATAAAAGCCGACATCCTGGCGAGTCCGAAATGCTAAAGGATTATGCCGCATGCTAATCAGTATCATAACCCCACCTAAGCAATCCTACCTTATCGAAAACGAATTTCAGAATTTCGGTCAACATTTCATGAGATCGGTCACGCACTGTACCTTTCGCTGTCAACATATAAATAATTGTAATTTTCCTGTTGTTTTAATGCATTTTTTGAAGCTGATTTCCTTATTTTCACTACAACTTTCTCTCTTAGACATACGCCAGATTAAAGTGCTTGTGGAGTTTTTCAACAAGGAAGAGCAACGTTATGCAATCAAGCATACACAGGACCAAGCGCGTACGTTAATCTTGATCTTCATTTTTGTAGCCTGCTCAAGGCTCTCCTAAGTCGGCTTTTTGGACTTGTATTTCTCTGTCCACATTTGGCTATGCGTTGTGGGTGTCGTGCTGCTTACTACTGTTAATCATCCACTTCCTGCCGAATTCGATGCTGAAGACCGGAGTAAAGTTTTTCACGGGGACATTTTAAGGTCACTGCTCATCTAAACTAAACACCCCTGCAGCCTCAGTTACCTAAGTGTTTTGTGTCAGTGTCAGTGGCACTAACTTCCCCTCAAATGACACCTACGAAGTGGCGACCCTTTCCAAATTTTTCTTAAAGTTGTTTGAAGTGTGTTGGGGTAAAAATTCAATGTTCTTCTCCTTGCTTCTTGTATGACTGAAAAGTCAATTGGCTAACATATGTTTTCGGTAAATTCTCATCAGGCCTGTACATTTACAAGGGAAGTGATCAGTCTAATTGTCGACAGGGTATAAATGTGTCTCGGGGGCAGAGTTAATCGGACTCCATGTTCTCACGCCGCCCGCATGACGGAGTCAGCGTGTTGAGGACGCTGGAGTTGGTGTGGGAGGGGGGGGGGAGTAGTGGGAGGGGGGGGGGAAGTAGAGGGGTTCCGGTTGGATTGTAGGCGCTGTGAGTGCATGTGACTGCTCTCAGTGCGTCGGTATGGCGTGCGATCACCGTCTGGAGTCGGCCGGGGCAGACAGACTCCTTGTGTCAGCGTCTTCTGACAACAGGGTGCTGGGTTCGTCAGCCGAATGGCCACTGCTTCGGCTGTGGCTAGCACCCTGTCGACAATTAGACTGATCACTTCCCTTGTAAATTTACAGGTCTGATGAGAATTTACCGAAAACATATGTTAGCCAATTGACTTTTCAATCGTAAAATGGGAATTTTCGCAGAACTTTTATGACTGTCTAAATCCTTCGTATTATCGATCGAAATTGACTTCCGTCTAGTCATTTCTAGCCACGCGTTGAGAATTCTTACCCGTCTACTGTTTTTTGTCTGTTAACGTACCTACCAAAACGTTAGTGATTCTTATTTACATCACTGATTACCCCTCTGTCTTTTTTCAGTCATTAAAACATATTTCGTCGTCAGACGTTTGGATGACAAGCCAGTCGTTGTTCTAGATACTGTAAGTTGAATAGTCAGCGGCCCTTGATTTATGAAAGAAATGACCGAAACTTTTTCTACCCAACTTCTTCCCCGGTTGTTTCTTTCACTCCTGGGGGTACCGAAAGTTGTCATTTTTTAATAAGTGATAAGACAAGTGTTGGCCGGAAAACGTTTTATTGCTTTTATCAGTTGCATGATCGCCGTTGTTGTTAATTACTGTTGCCCATCTGGAAATTAAGAGCGAGCCCGCTTTTGACGCAAGAATCCATTTCTCATCTCCGTGGAAAATTCGGTAAAGAAATGGTTTGCTTTCCTGTCTGCTTAACAAGAGCTACAGATTGTGAAATGCTGGGCCCTGCTTACCATCAAAATTTGGTCCGAGGCCCAAACTCTATTGGCCTTCCTCATTTGTTGAAGGTATCCCTGTTCGGTAGGCCACGGCGAATGTATTTTCTTCCGATAATACCTGGATGGTCGGACGATTTGCCACAACACTTGCGCCCAAAACGTCATTGCCCAGCTCCGCTAGTCAGCCCGGTCGATGGTCATTTGAGAAGTCGAAATCGCTCAATTGGAATTTTGTGTAACAACGCTGACACTTGCGGGCATCTAAAGCATTTAAATAAACACCACAGATTGTTTCGATGTTGCGTTGTCCCTCTTGAGGACTTCATACAGCCTACAGTGGCGAACATAACTACCTTCAGATTTTATATCTCCCACTTTGTTAGGTACAATTTAAAAGGCAGATGTTATATCAACTCCTAAAATCAAGACCTCACTGATTTACAAAGACCCATAGTTTAAATGGAATGGACCTAAAAATTTAGTAACATTCAAATTTTGACTGCAAAAAAGGACATTACTTTCCGGTACCCCTCACGCGATCCATATCTAAAATCTGTCAATCTTTACAGACTTTTCCTCCTCGGACAAACTGTTCAGACACCCGCATGTTGCTTATGCCATTGACGGTTCACCGTTTTCCCTAGCGCTCTTAGGTCGAAATTCCTAGAATTATTGTTGAATGGATTTCGTACTTTCGTTCTGTTAATCCGAGGCGGTTTCCGTTTCTTGTGTCCTCTTTGAGTACATATACGTCTTTTTTCCCCAAGGAGTAATTGATGTGAGCATTCTTTTGAACTTGTTTGAAATGGTCGCATTCACTTTCACCTCCTTTTTGTCCATCCACTCTTTTTCTGACGTTTGTCTCACTTTCGTCGTTCAAGGCACGTCGGAGCTCCCTCCAAAAGGTTAGTTTTTGTTCTGGCCACCCTTTTTGCACTGCCTCGTCTCTGATATATACCGACATTCTCAGTCCAAAAACCCTCTGAGCTTGCCCTCCTGCCCAATAAGCCTGCTTATGGTGCACAAAAAATGACAACTCGTAATGCCTCTAGGTGAAGCCTTTGTGATAGCAAACTGAGAAACATGATTCCCAACGTATATAGGGAATAATTCTCTAATCGTGCCCTTCGATATAATGCTGACAGACGACCAGTATGTCAAGTGGTTGTGAAACGACTGTCCGGATGACGCCCCCCAGCTTTGGCAAGCTCCTTAAGACTGACCGAATCTCTTAAATTATCCACGATGGGCGCTTAAATGGCCTGTGCTAATAGACTTGCTGCTATCCCATCTTTCTAGAAGTACGGCCTTCCTGGCCTCTAGGAGCCTGAAAATGACAACTAGAAAATTTCAGTAGTCTGGCCAAGGTGCCTTAACGTTTTATGCCAGTTGGAAGGTGAGACGTTTTACTGTAATTGTACTGTTTTAAAGTTGAACTCATATCAGTTACGATCTTCGCAGTAGATTTTGAACGTCCATCATTATAAATATGACCGCGAGCCTTTTTTTGGTTCTTTACTTACACAGTTTTAGTTAAAGACATGCATACTCAACACCAAGTCTGATCTGGGCTTCGAACTCGTGTTCTTTGGTCATTGAGCGTTAGATCCGATGCTATACCACTGAACCACGAACCGGCTGCCCTGTCGGTTGTGATTTGGACCACTATCATAGGAAGGACGTTCACCGATCAGGAACGGTGATTGAGCTCCAAGGAAAAACTGGGCGAGCACGTCTTGTAACCTTGACTGACGAACACCTTTCCTACGATATGCTAACTTATGTCCTTACTGGAGATACATGTGGCGGCACTATCACGTTTTGGATGTGTGGTCCACTCGAACGCACTGTTTGTCAGATTTGTTAAGCGATTACGCAGGACGCTTTCCGTCCCACACGGTCACGTCTTATTTAGTCATTTATGCATAAGTCTTAAGAGCAGATTTTTTGGCTGAGACCACAAGTAACTACTGTTCAACGATTTGCAAACAAATCCACAAATCATCTTTCAACACGTCTTAGACTCTAAATGCGTCTACTCTGAGGTGGCGTTGAAATGTCCCCCTTGCTCAGTCTATTCCTTACTTGCCTTAATTAGCCCATGTCATATACAGTAAAGTGCATCATATTTTTCATGTGAAGGCACGGCATGCCACCGAACGGTCTTTTGCCACTTTCATGCCACGATTCATGGTTTTGTCATCACCTTTCTCACAAACATAGTGTACGTTTTCTTTGTGCACTTCCGGAGTAGAATAAATGGGTCTGTCAAGGGTCTCTCTGCTTGTTCTGTTGTCTTCAGAACTCCTTTGCGCCTTTCCTTGCTACCAGAAAGCTACTCTAGCATGCTATTTGCGAAATGTTTTCCTTCGTCTATCTCTTTCAGGATGACACCACCCCGAAAATAAGCGTTGCAGAGGTTGCAGGCTCAGTTTGCATACCCTTCGTTTCTGAGCCAAGTAGGACTGATCCCGTCAGTGCTCCTGCACTGAACGAGCTATCCCTCACCGCCGCCGCTGGGACGTCGGAACCAAACGTTAAGTTCAACAGCACCGACGTCGAAATGCTGGAGGCCTTGTTGGCCTTTTCTAAGCCTGAAGAAGTCTTCAAGTTCCCCCCAATCTCCGCTTTCTCACTCTGTTTTGCTAACCCCTTGTTGGAAAGGGCTTATCGACAACAGGTACTGCGAGTCCCTCGTCGCTCTCTTCAGCTCACTCTTGCGACCCCTCGTATATCGCCCGCAGTCAATGCTGTCGCGCACTTTCTCTTCTTCATATCCCTCCTTATTGCGTGCTTTGTTAATTTTCCCTGTCTTAGCGACATTTCTTTCATCCCCACCGCCGCCATTGTCCTTGCTTGCGTCGGCATTTTCGTGAATCTGGCCTTTCTCCTTCTGGTGCTTGTTGACCTCGTTGCGTGGAGCCTCGGTTCCCAGTCAGTCCAGCTGGCCATTTGGAAACAGAATGTTTTCAGAGCTCACCGTTCCGCCTTCCAGTGGTATGGGCGTAACATATTCGGCGCCATCTTGATCTGCTGTCCAGCGGCCTTTGTCCTAGCCAACTTTCAAGCCTGCCTCTTTTGGGCCAATCGTAACGGTGACTCGAGCGAACCCTTCGAGGCCTTGGCCGAATATCGTGTAATTAACGGCCTTCTCTACTGCATCATGCCTTTCAGTTTTACCCTCTTCCCCAATTTCTCCTTCTGGACCAAGTCCCTGTGCGCTAGTGCTGTCAGTCTGATTGTCCTCCTGCTTGTGCACTGGCCCTTTGGATCCGTTACTGCCTGTCGGGAGCGCGCACTCTTGTTCACGTCATTCGTGCACTCGAACCAGTCAGTTCCAGTCTGGGCCGCTCCGGCTACCAGCAACCTCTTTCCCTGGGAAATGACAGTCGTCATCCTTCTCAATCTCGTTCTCGTAGTAGCCCTGAACAGAGAGATTGACATCAGCTTCCGAGCCAACTTTAATCGCGACTTTGAGGCTAGCTGTGCAAAGAAGGCTATCACACTGGAAAAGATGCAGGGTGAATGGTTGTTAGAAAATATTATCCCGCGCTACGTACTGACCGATTTGCGTAAAACAAACAAGTACTCTCAGCATGTGAAGGATGCCGGTGTCATATTCGCCTCGATAGCCAACTTTTCCGAGTTCTATGATGAGCAATATCATGGTGGCCAGGAGATGCTGCGTGTTCTGAACGAAATTTTCGCGGACTTTGAGCATCTCTTACACTCATCGCGCTTCAAGGATGTGGAGAAGATCAAGACTATCGCCGAGTGTTTTATGGCCGCGTCGGGGCTAAATGTGGCCGAACGGAGTCGTAATCGTCGTCCAGACGCCCATCTCTACGCCCTCATGGACTTCGCTATCGAACTGATTAGGATCCTGGAAGACTTTAACCAGCAGATGTTTAGCTTCCATTTTGAGCTGAAAATCGGCTATAACATTGGTGAGGTCACTGCCGGTGTCATCGGAACAACAAAGCTGCTTTACGACATCTGGGGCGACGCTGTCAATGTGGCCAGCCGCATGTACTCCACCGGACAGAAGGCGCGTATACAGGTAACTGAAGAAGTCTCGCAGCGGCTTTCTTCACGCTATGACTTTGAGTATCGCGGTAATGTTTTCGTGAAAGGTAAAGGGGATATGCGGACCTATCTTTTGGTTGGCCCGAAGACAGATTCCAGTTCCGTGAAACCAGCGTCCCCAAAGACCGGCTCTTAAAGCCACTGTTCTGTCACCATCCCACCACCTATGCGTCAAAAACACTCCTTACTGTTCTTCCCACGCGAGTGTTGTCATTGTCGGAATTAGCCTATTACCGGAGTTCACGTCTCTCCTCTCCGAACATAGGGCCGCAGCTGGTCGAACCCCTGTGAACTGGTGCACTCTTTCTAGTCCCCCCTGCCTGTGTCCTCCAGCCGTTCTGATGGTACTTTTATATCATGTTGCCCTTGTTATTAAAAAGAACAGAAACACTTAAGAACGATCGGTTATGCATGTCTGTGCCAATTACTCTTCCTGTTATGGCGCTAAACTTAGTTATTAACTCGCTCTCATTACTTCCTTTGTTCGCACAGACGCAGCCAGTCATCTAACTTTAGTTCTTGATCTCCGTGGTTGTCCTTCTTCCCACTTCTGTGTAATCATTTGCCGATGTTTTACCAGACCGCGTAGCATTTCCTCACCCTCACATTTTTCCCCGCGGCAGTTGTGTGCCAGCACGTGATACTACTTTCACACTAAGTTTATCTTGCTTTTGCTTTAATGTCGCTCTCAATATTATTTTGCTTTTTGACAAACCGTGCCATCATTGTGGTAACCTCCGCTGTTTTCTCAGTTCTTTACGGAGGGATTTAAATATGTCCGGTGAAATGACCGTGCCGCTTATTTGTGATTCTTCCCGCCACTAGTCAGGGTTTGGACGCTAGTGGGGGTTGAACCTTATTCCCTTGCCTCCGCAAACTGGAGTTTCACTCCATTTTCCAGATTTGAGCACTCAACTCTCGTGAATAACTTTTTTCCTAAGTAATCTGACGTGCATGAAATTATCACGACGCGGCGATCATCGCGATTCGGGAGGTCGCCAACTGACGGGATAAATCGGTCTTACTTGGGGCCAGGGATCAGGTTGGACCGGCTCCGATGCATGGGAAAAGGTACTGCATCTTCTTAATATTGCCTTCATTATCATATCATATCCGGGGTCTCCCTCATTGAGGCCTGGGCGCATAGCGGATTATGTGTGACACGCAGGCGGGATTTCTAGTTTTATGGGACAATAAGAGCATGCCCGTCTTCAGTCATCCCAACCGTTTTACTACTAGAACAAGATGGTTGTGATGTTAGCCAGCAAACTTTGCTCAACCATAAGCACACTCACGAGGGAGTCACCTTTGTGCCATTCAGGACATGGTTGGACCTTGTTACTTGCGCTGTCAGCCAGCCACGACTGAAGCTTACGGTAGCCGAGACATTTGTATTTATTTCTGTTGTCAAAGTATGCGTGCGCGCTACACGTGCGCTTTTGAATGCGCGCGCATCCTCTGGTCGATTGGGTTGTTTACTGGGAAAGCTGCCTGTTCCTCAGATCTTCCGCAGCGCCCCTGTAAACAGCCTTCATATAGTTGCAAACAGCCCTCAGAGAAAAGTCCCAGAAAGTAAAGCAGCGCCAGTGGAGCCCTTTTGAGTCGTGGCCAGCCTGGGACCTTACTAGCCGCGGTAGTTTGCATGCCATTTTTTCATGGATTAGGCTAAGCATTCAAAGTCATCTGAAAAAGAACCGACACGAGGAGGACATTGTCCCGTACTCACTTCCGACTATTTCGTAACTCACCTCCGGGGTACTCTCCTCTCTCGGTCTTGTCTTAAATCTCGATTAACAATTATATATGAGCGCTCACCCGTTGTGCCCTTGGGGCTCCGTCTAGAGCCTAGCCGGCTGTTGCAAAGCGACTAGTATTATGGGTAGAATGAGACTGCCGACAGACACAAGGAGAGGACCGGGATAACCATTTCTGGCTTGTTCGTCTTCACTCAGTCATACCCAATCCCTGACGTTGCAAAAACCTGAGGGAGGGGGTCGTGTATGGCCGACTGACGACGGCTGATAAGCCAGAAGTGGCCATCCCAGTTTCGCTTGTCTTTGTCGCCAGCCTTGTTCCACATTCTTAAGCAGCCATGACTGTCTCAAAAGTTCTCGTTCCTACTCGATGCCCCTCGCTCTTCCTTCGTTGAAACTTCTCTGAAATCTTGTTTTTCGTCGCAGTCTTCGCAGGAAGACCGACTAGTTGAAGGAGGCTTATGCAGATATGCCTGACCGCAATTTTCCAGGCGATGATTACGAGTCCGTTTTACTTCATTAGCTTTAGCGATGACTGCCAACCGAGGTATTCCCTGATTGCAGAATGCTGGCAGAAAAGAAAGTACAAAGACGACTACCAAATATTCCCAAAATGTGAAACAAGATATTTCGAAAAATACATGCGTTATCATTGCTTAGAGACCGCTGTGCAAATGTTTCAAGCTTTCTTGCTTGTTTGAATTATTCAACACAGTAACAGCGGTGCGAATAACGCAAACCAATCGGCTGTAAATATTTCCAGCTGAACCTTCGAACAGCAACTGGATTGGGTACTTTAAGTAGGCCGGTGGAAATGAAGAGATACAATCATAAAATAAAGAAAGGCCAAGCCTG